AATGGAAGGAACGAAGTGAGTCAAACAAAACCATTTTGTATTTCTAAGAAGAGCGTCATGGCCGCTTGGGAAAGGGTTAAAGCGAATAAGGGGTCTTATGGAGTGGACGAAGAGTCAATCGAACATTTCGAAAAGAATCTAAAGGACAACCTGTACAAAGTGTGGAATCGGCTGTCCTCAGGGTCGTATTTTTCCCCAGCTGTAAGAGCTGTGAAGATCGCTAAATCTGGGGGACAGCGACAACAAAAGCGTTTATTGGGTATTCCTACTATTTCCGATCGCGTGGCCCAAGGTATAGCAAAGCTATACTTAGAGCCATTAGTGGAGCGGAAATTCCATGAGAACTCCTATGGATATCGTCCAAGGAAATCTGCAGTGGATGCCGTAGGTGTGGCAAGAAAACGTTGCTGGCAGTATAATTGGGTTATAGACCTAGATATTAAAGGGTTCTTTGACAATCTAAATCATAATCTGATGATGAAAGCTGTTCGGGTTCACACCAAAGAAAAGTGGATTTATCTCTACGTGGAGAGGTGGTTAAATGCCCCTCTTCAACTGGAAGATGGAACGCTTGTACAGCGCAAGAAAGGTACTCCTCAAGGAGGCTTATGCAAAGCTTTGCATAAGCCTCCTTATGCGAAGAAAGTACTTATGCAAAGTAAGGGATATAAATAGTAGGCTTTTCAACAATTCTGTTGAATTTTAGTTCGCATAATCTCCGAGATTGATAATAGGGCATAGCGCTCTAATTATCATTTTAGGAGGAATGCTCAATGCAAAAGAAACCATTAACTGAACTGCTCTATGACCTAGAGCAGGAGATGCTGCGTCTTGGCTACACCGAAGGTTCCATGCAGTTTTATCGTAGGCGTTGGAAGATGCTTCTTCAATTCGCGCAAGAACGAAGAGAGCGCTTCTACTCTGAACGTTTAGGTTATGTTGCCCCCCGAAAAGTGGACAGTTGAATAAGCTCAAAATAAAGTTCTTTTTCGCATTTTAAGAAGGCAAAAGAAAAATGAGTAAA